TAGAACCCAAAGGGCAGGACCTTTAATGTTGGTATAATATGTGTAAATATATGATTTCTTTTCAATTGAATGAAAAAATTTATGAAGTATCTGACTATAAAAATTTTATGCTCAATATTTTTCAATTGGCCACATTCAAAACCCATAAAAATTTTAGAATTATGAATGTAAGATTTTGTTTTTTTTTTTTTTTTTAATAAGACTCATTTTAGTGGCGCACTTTTAAAATGTTCATGTAACTGTCAAACTTGGTAAATTTATGATATTATATTCATATAATGAAGGAGAAAATTTACTGACAAATTCAATGCAAACTCATAAATTTAATGCCAACGTTATTTACACTTTGTATATATATACAAAAGATGATTTAAATTATGAACAAAAATTACTTTTGCCTTTATTTTTGATTAATTATTATTTCCTCGATGAATTTTGTTTTATTAATTAATAAAAAATTAATTATTTAAAAATTTATTTATTTTTATAATTAATTATTTTTTTAATTTAATAATCAGATAACAAGTATTTTATTTAGGAAAAAGATTCGAAATGTCTTTTATTTAAAAACGTTTCATTGAAGGATGTAAAATTTCTTTAATATATTGTCGCAACGATCTATTTTTGCATTGTTTAAGTAGTAACGGCAAGTCATAAAGACACACTCACACGCTGTTTTACAACTGTTTTACAATTGAGACAGATTCCTTCAATCACGTAACCGGTAGGTGTCCAATAAAAATAGCGGTCTATGAGGTAATGAACAAGAAATAAAAAAAAAAAAAACGAGAGATTACCAAGAAAAAGTATAAAACAAAATGAATTTGATTTTATTTGTGCTTGCGATCGCAAAAAAAAAAGTTTTTAAAAGCCTTTCTTTAATATGAAGATACATTCTTAATATACGATTTATATGTTAAGTAAATGACTATGTTGGTACTTTATAAGCTTGAGTAAGATTGTAAACTCATTTATAAAGTCTCTGCGACCGACAAGTTGAGTCTACATTTTGATTCGTGAGCAAACAAGTATGCAAATTTTATTTATTTATTTACATTTTTTATAAAAGTATTTTGCATTGGTAATTAGAAATTATGTAGTCATTGTAATCTTGAATTTCTATGAAATTTCAACCTATATATAATTTATTAGGTATTTATGCTCAAAAGAAAAGTTTTATTTTTCTTTTTTTTTTTTAATTTTATAAATTATTTTAACTCGAAAAATATGATTCGTAAATGTACGTGTAATGTTTAATTTTTTTTTTTTTTTAGGGTAAAAAGAAATTTTTTACATATTCATTTTGGTTCGTTTCTATAAAGAGGGATTGACATTTTTCAGTATAACTATAGTGCAGTAAACAAAATAAGTAGGTTGCATTGGTAATTATGAACTACATGCAATAGTCCAGAATTCAATAAAGTTCAACCTACAATTTGTCAGGAATTTTTATCGAGAAGGTCATTGTTTAAATATGTACAATACTCGGAGATTATTCTTTTTTTTAGATTTTTAATATTTAAGAAGAAATTCATATTCAATAATTTTTTTAAATCAATTTTAAAATTATTTTTATTTTTATCAAAATTTAATTGTTTTGCATTGGAAATTTTTTAATGTGTAAAGATTTTTCCTTAAACCAGAAAAAATTGCGAATTTCAAGTGAATATTTTCAAAAATTTCTTTAAATAAAAAAAAATTGATTTAATTTAATATTTAATGAAAAATATTTTATTTTTAAAAATTTGCAACTTGAAAATAAAAAGAAAAACAATTAAATATCGCACACTAAAAAAATGTTTCTTTTGTTAAAATTGTTTTAGTAAAATTACCGTTTTGTTTCTTGTGTTATGTACATTAAGAAACTTGTTTTGCTTTTAAATGTGTTTCTTTCTACATATTATGAAAAGTAATTATGTCCTTAGTTCATTTAAGCTTTTATATTAAGTTCAATGACACAAAATTGCATGTGAATTCCAAATTGCAAAAACCCCTTGCACCATCTACCTCCAAACATATAGAAATTTTTATAATTTCCTTTATAAGCTTGTTACGCTCGCTTATTTCTCAGGCTTTTTCAGAATTCATTTGGCCTTATATTATCACGGTGTATATATATATATTTATTCTTGCGCAGTATTATTACACCAAGCACGAAAGCTAAAGAGGAACGAGAAAAAACACAAGGCGTTGATATATACATATACATATATATTACAATTCTATACTTAATATACTTCAATCGACATTTATACTATATAATGTGAATGCGACTGTTTTTTTTTTTTTTTTTTTTCACTATTATAACACCACCGACATATAATAATCGTGTTACGAGTTCGCCTGAGCTTTGCTGAATAATTTTTTTTGTTCTATTTTGGTTATATTTCATGTGACAACGATCGAGTGCGCATTCGACACATAAAAACAACTTTTTTTTTTTATAAAAACGAAAAAAAAATTATTTACAAAAATTTTTCATATCTTTGATAATTAAAAATTTGACGAATTTTCATTGATTCAAATTTAGAAAGTATAAAAGATAAAGAATATTTATTGTTTAAAATTATTTTAATGTCTACCATTTGTTTCATTAATTTTATCAAATAAAAAGAAATTTATATTCTTATTCTTGAACTAAAATTTAATAAAATAAGATTATAATTTCTATTCATTATTTAGAGACGTTTGGTAATTAATTGTTTAATAAAATTTAAACAAAGAATTTTTATTTTTTAAAAATTCAATATAATAATAATTCATATAGATTCTGCAGGTGAAAAAATATATTTGTCTCAGAGATAAATAAATTTTATGTGTATTAATGAAAATTTATATTTAAAACAAATAATTATTTAGCTTTGGATTAATTTCGATTTGAATATTTGCTTCATAATGAGAAGCTATATTATTTTGAGATAAAATCAAATAATCATTGAATTTCTCAAAAGTAATGAACCAATAAAGGATAAGATCATTATTGCATTTTTATTTAGAATGACATTTATAAAATGTTTTATTTTTTTTTTATGAATGCAATTTAATATTAGTATCTTGTTTGATTTCTTTGATAGTTTTCTCTATTAGCTTACTTTTAATTTGAATAAGATATTTTTAGTGTTATAAAATATAAATTATTATTTAATAATGCAATATTATATTTTCCTCTTGATTGGTAATATCAAGTTTCTTCGAGTTTATTTGAAAAAAATATGATAACCTCTATTATAAAGTTCCTATTTTCATTGCAAAAATAATTGCAGTAAAACTTTTTCAATTAGGATTTGGAATTCCTCTTGAACGAAAAAGTTTAATTTAGTTGTTGTCATGTTCTGCCTAAAGTCTCAAAGAAGACATAATTTGATTCTTATAACTTAAATTACGTTCTCGACAAAGAACAGTTTAAGATTTTTTATAGAAAGTAATAAAAACATATATATATATATGAGAGTATGATAAAATCTTTTCGATTAATTTTGGAGATTATTGAATTTATTAAAATCCAATGAAATTAAGATGAAAATATCAATTCAAATTAATTTATTTTTTTATTTATATCTACATTTATGTGACATGTTTTTTTTTATCACTGTTCGGAGTAACCTCACCAATTTAAACAAAACTTATTTGTATGATATTTATTTTTATATTAGGTTCAATAAAAACTATTTCTGGAGTAAAGCCATTGTTTATTTAAAAAATATAAATATTGAACAAAATTCACTTTTGAACGATTTGACAAAATGAAACGGCTCAAAATTTTAGAAATTGTTTTTCCAGTTTCTTATTTTCCAGTCAATGATACCAATATGTTGCGTGAATTAAATATTATAAACATAACCTTTTTTTAAAAATTATGTTGGTAGCATTGACTGGAAAATAAGATATATTGCGCGCAGTCATAACAGCTGTTTGAAATGAAAGAACTCAAAACGAAAAGCAATTTCTAAAATTTTGAGCCGTTTCATTTTGTCAAGTCATCATTCAGAAGTGAATTTTTTTCAATGTTTATTTTTGTATATTTTAAATAAACAATAGGTTTACCCAAAAAAATGTTTTTTTTTTACATAAATCGAAAAAAATATCACATTACCAAATTTTTATTTAAATTGTTGAGGTTACTACGAAAATTGATAAAAATAAACTCCTGGAATGGCACATATAATATTTATAGAATTAATTTTCAAATTATAACTTTTATTAACGCCTTGTGTTTTTGATTGAATTTCATTTTTTTTTTAAATCATAATTTTTTAAACAAAACTATTTCTTTATTATATTCGGGAATTTATTAAACGAAACAATAATCAATCAATAGTAAAAAATTTCGTTTATAAAGACAGTAATGCAAATACAATTCTATATCAAATAAAATTCGTACAAATGAAAAAAATTCTAGCTAATGATTTTTATGGGATATTCATGAGCCCTATTTTTACTAGGTCTTTTAAGAGAAATTTTTTTTATTTAACCATAAGTTTTTTTAAAGATAATTTTTGCAATTTTATCAAATATAACAATTGTAAAGAATTGAATTTTCCAATGGGAAATCACAAAACCCTTTCAGTCAATAAAAGAAAACAATAGTAGTATTGTATGTTTGATGATGCACACTCGGTCGTTCTTGATCATATCTGAACTCTCATATAAGCTGACCGCGTTACCTTGTCACGTGCTGCGTTTTGTCACGGCTGGCCTACTTCTTAAGGAATCGTCGTAAACCGATGTTCTTTTAGTTATTAGTGTTGCATGAAAAAGTCAATTTCGCATATATGAGGTATAAGAAAATTATATTAATTTTTAAAAACACAGATATATCAAAATATGTATTTTTTTTTATAGAATATTGTATTAAATTGAGGCAAGAAAACAAAAATAATGTACATATATAGGTATAGTTGTTCAGAGAATAATGAACAAAGCTCGGGCAAGCTCAATTATTGGTATTTGTATAAAAAGGGTGACCTTCGGCCTGACCGGATCTTGATAATTTCCCGCAGAGGGGTGCATCCGGTGGTTATTGCCGAGCAGGACGACTGGCAGACGTCGAGGCTGATCCCAGAGGAATCAAGGGACCACAACCATCAAGGGAAACACAGGAATATAGGTCACCCAGCGAGGACAGCGGTCTCGGGTCCGATATGCCCAGGACCAGGTCGAAATGATTCTTTTTTTTATTTATTTATTTCATTAGTTTTGCAAGATTTTAGTAATTTTTTAAAAATCTTTTTTCTATTCTTTAATTCAAAAAACTATTTTCTGAGAAAGAAATCATATTTCTGTGAAATTACTTTTTATTACTCGAGAGTCCTTACACCAAATTTTTAGAATGAAATTTTTTGCCTAAATGTCAGTCAAAATTACTAAAAGTGGGTCAAAGATTACTGGAAGTTAGTCAAAATTAACTGAAAATAATTGTGGATTTGTGTAAGAAACAGTCAAACGAATGTCTTGTTTTAGGACAAAAAGGAAGTCTAAAGATGCAATATTTTTAAGGCAGTTCAGATTCTTCTTAAGAGTGTCGAACGGTCTCTGAAATTCTTTGGCATTTAATTATCGCCCTACACTGAAAAAAAGCAATGAATGTCACATCCATACGTCTGGTTGCCCCAACCATATTATATTGAAAAATACGTCCCATCCATATCTATGGATGCTACATCCATATAAAATAGTTAGCTGTAAATTGATGCAATAACAAAGGTTTATAGCTGTGTGAACCATATAATATGGAAGTAGCACAAATCTCATTATGGATGTCACAACCATTTTTAATTGTTGCTGCAACCATTGACCTGTGTGTACTATATTAATATAGTTAACGTATCTATTTTATATGGTTATACTTAATATTTATTTTATTTTCTGAATTATATTATTAATAAGGTTATTTTTAATTAATTTAAAACATTGCGTATCATATTAACATATTTATTTTTTCCAATAAAACGTAAATGTAAATGTTTATTACAATAAAATATAATATTATATATAATAATTCGCGCGAACAACTTAAAATAATATCGCGATATACTTATAATAATATTATAATTATAATTTATGGCGTAAAGTTGCAAACATGGAACCATTTCTCCATTTGCAAATTGTGACTGGGAAAGGAGAATGCAAATCATTTACAAGAACACAATCAAATTCGGCAGTTTAAAATTCGGCAATTAAAAATCCAACAAAGATTTGAGCACGTGGAAACATAACCTATAATTTACTGATATTATTGCTTACCTTTAAAATGCGGTATGTATTCCTCGAATCCATCTTTTTTAAAAAATTGAAAGCACTCAGCTTCCATGTTGTTTATATCTAACCCGAACCACTTAGAGCCAATTTTAAATAATTTAATTTATGCCAAAATTGCTTTTTTTCTTTCAAACACACTTTTAGGACGCGAAATAGAATGACGCAATATGTGACCAGCTGACCAAGTCTGATTACCGCGCAAACGCGTACATCTATTTAGATCAACGAGCGTAACCATTTAAAAATGGATAGGAGATCCAAACTAGTAAAATCCATAGCGGTATTGAAAACACAACCAAACATATGGTTGGTACATCCATATCAAATTTACAAATATTATATGGTTCCCACAACCCTTTTTTTTAATTCTTCCAACAATATTATGAATAACAATATTTTTATGGTTATGATATCCATTCATTTTTTTCCGTGTATAAAAACGGCACTGAATGTGAAAATGATAAACATTGATTTTAAAATACTTTTTTCTCGAAACGCGGACACTTTTTACAAAATCGGCCAAAACACCATAAGGATTCTTATTTTATAAATTTTCTAAACCCGAAAGATTGTGCAAATCTATACAAAAAATACGATTGTAAAACGAAAAGTAGGAAAGTAATGTAATGACAGCTGCGACATTGTGCTCCCTGCATGCTTCTGCCATCTGACGGCGGCAGGATGTAATAAAGCTGTCATTATATTACTTTCCTACTTTTTGTTTTACAATCGCGTTTTTGTATAGATTTGCACAATCTTTCTGATTTAAGAAATTTATAAGATAAGGATCCTTATGGTGTTTTGGCCGATTTTGTAAAAAGGGTCCGCATTTCGAGAAAAAAGTATTTTAAAATCAATGTTTATCATTTTCACATTCAGTGCCGTTTTTATAAAGCGATAATTAAATGCCAAAGAATTTCAGAGACCGTTCGACACTCTTAAAAAGAAACTTTCCTTTCACTGCAAAGTAAAAGTTACTAAAATTCAGTAAAACCTAACAAAGTATAATATGGTTGAATTTTCCAAAAATTAATTTAGCAAACCGGAAAATAAACCCATTTTCTATTTTACTATGTTTGCGAATGTTGTTGGAAGAAGCTGTTGTTAAGGCAATAAAGTTGAAATGGCTGTTGAAAACTTATCGACTTTTGCGGATAGGTGGTGGTTTGAAGGGACAAAGTGAATGTGGTAAACAACACTGGGCTTTTTGTATTATATAACCCAGCTATAAAAGTTTTAGTGGACATTTGATTGCCGTAAATTTACTAACTGCTAACACGACGCAACAAAGTTTCGCTTACCGAAGGGTTGCAAATAGCTTCAAGGTAAAGCGCCCTAAAACAAAGTACACAGTTTACGTTTATAAAAAAAAATTCATTTTTTTAAACAATCAAAAAAGTTATTACTTTCTAAAACTATCTTTTTAAAATAAGATCTGTTAAAAATATAAAAATTCCTTTTTTTTGTTAAAAATAAAAATTGATAAGTTAAAAATTAAAATAAATTTCAAAATTATTTAAAGCTTTTTATATGTTCTTGATGGGTTTAATCGTAATTTTATAGGTACAAAGGAAATTATCTATCAATATTGACATTAATTTTCTCCTTTAAAAGTTGTTAAGAGCAAAATTTCTCGATAACAAAACTGTAATGTAATTAGAAAAATTAATTTTAATTAGTTTGGAATATGACCTCTTTTTTTAAATTCAATTATTTATCATTATTTTAATTCAAATAATAATCGATCACTTGACTATTATCAAATAAATATTTATTTGAGTCAATCAAATGGTATTTGTTTTAAGCCCTTAGCTGTCGACGAGATTTCCACTGTTTGGGTCAAAAGTGTTTGAAAAAAAATTTTAATGAATTTTTATGAAACTTTCGCCCACAGCAAAGAAACTTTCCTAAAGATTTCCTAAAGATTTATTTGAAATGTTCGGAATATTTAATTGCAATGTTTAGTGAAAATTGTGTAAAGATTTAAATGTCCCACTTAAATAAATGTTTAGCGCGAAACTTTCCTGAACATTTATTTAGTGCGGACATTTAAATCTTTACACAATTTTCACTAAACATTGCAATTAAATATTCCGAACATTTCAAATAAATCTTTAGGAAATCTTTAGGAAAGTTTCAGTGCTGTTGGGGTTTTCAGGGTCGCTAATTACGAATCTGGCATCAGTTTTTCAAAATTCAAAATGTCCCCAAAAACCCTAGAGTAGTTTCAAGTGAATTCAACCAATTTTAATGTTGTCGTCCGTCATTTTGAATTTTGAAAAACTGATATTAGATTAGTAATCAACGACCTCGGGTTAAATACAGAAATTATTTGCCCAAATAGAAATTATTTAATTCAAATAAAAATTATTTGGTTCAAGTAAATATTTATTTGATAATAGTAATGTAACCGATTATTTGAATCAAATAATTTTGTTTTTCAGTGTGGGAAGGGTCACATAAGAGATGGGGAAATCTGGTAGGTACCGCGTCTGGCCCACATTTCAATTTCTGCATCTAGAATCTCAATAGTTAATTTTGCGATATATACTTGTCTGTACGCATGGGCATTAATGGGTTAAACATGAAAGGAATGAGATATTACAGCAAGTTCTTTGTTTAATAAAATTTTAACAAATTGCAGTAATGACAAAGTAAAACAACAAAGAGATACAAATTGGATAAATAAATCCATTTAGCATCGGTCTCCCCTTATTAAATCTACCATAAAAACTACCAACAGATTTGAATTCAGCGCTTTGATTGAAACATTAAATTCAAGCTTTTAAATTTATCATCATTTAAAATTCCCGTGCCGATCTATAAACCTATCATTAAAATTGAAGCTACTATAATAAATGTAGTCTTTCAATTAAAACATAATAAATAAGCGATAAATTTATCATCATGTTGATTTAATAGAAATTGCCATTAATTAAGAATTTATACAGTTATTCGAAATGCTATATATATAGTCAAATATAAAGTTAACAATAATTGATGTTATACTGTCAAGAATAATACGACTATAAATTTTTATATTCCTGACATTGGTACAGTGAATTGAAGTGAAACTTGTTTCGGAGTGTTATATTCCTTGAACGTGAGTTTGCTTGACTTAATGGCTTTTCTATGTAGAAGTCGGCAGGACATCGATATTTCATTTCCTGTTCCTTTCCTTTATAGCGGACCCCTGACGCTGCATCTCGGATCTCGCACGGGTGCATGGAGATAAATTGATATGTAGGTGCTCCGGGGGCAAGTAAACAGATGCGATGGCGAACTTGTGTATGCACCATTCTCAATAGATAAACGTGCACTGCACCATAAACGAGAGAGTCAAGAGTCAGAATCATCCTCTTGTTTTTTTTTTTTTTTTTGGTTTTAATTTTTCTTTCCTTTTGCCTCTCTCATCTCGTGAAAAGAGAAAGATGAAAGTGAAAAGATTCTAAAAAGGGATACCAATCGGTTGCACGTTTCTTGGGATATTTTATTGCCATTTTTAAGGGCACGAAACAGCGTGCTAGCAAGTCGTATTTCATATCTTCTTATCTTCCTTTTCCTAGCCATAGAAAATAAGCTAGAGGCGCAAGAAGAAGCCTTGTGATGGGGATTCTGTACACATATATGCGTATATGGTAACATTAAGAAATTTTCAAGGAATTATGCCTTGTTGTACAATTAATTACACATTTTCTCTTGCGGTTCTTAATATAATCTCTTAAATTATTCCCTGTGATTTATATGGATGAAATATAGTGTGCTAAATATTTTACATTTTACTGAGAAAAATTTTATTCTAGCAGGCGCATATTATTATATGTTTTTTTTTTTTGTTGACCGCACAATTAACGTTTTTAAAATCAAGACATTAAAAATCTTTAAATCCTGATTTAAAACTATACACGATGAGCTTGAAAAAAATTAAACTAAAAGTCAAAATACTTTAGATTTTCCTGTGGATTTTGAAAGTATTATGCTTTTAGATTAAGAAAATCGGAGAATATTAAAATATTTAATCGAGAAATTTTTGAGAAAAGTGATTTTGAATTTTTTTTCTTCACACAAATTTTTTATACTAAATTTTGTTTAAAAGTTTGTTTCTCAGAAAAATACATTGAAAACAAAAAAAAAATGATTTTGATTCTACGATTTTCTTAATCTATAAATGCATAAAGGTCCCGAGGCGAAATTTGAATCCTCTTTAGCTTCCCTTAGAACCTAAATAGGCCCTCTTTACGATCTTGTAGACTCCCGTAGGCCCTCCTTTGAATCCAAACGTGGAAGAAAGGTAAATTTGCGACTGGTTGAGGAAGCTAAAGAGGGTCTAGTTCGATTAAAGTACAAAAAAATGCAAAAAAAAAACTCTTTTACTTATTTTGATTAAAGCAAAATGAATTTTTTCTTCACACAATATTTCTTTAATTACCCTTTAAAAACTGGAATTAACATATTTTGAAGCGTTTTCAAAAAATTAATAGAATTAGAGCAATTTCAAAATTTTCAATATTTTAATCAATTTTTAGACCCTACTTTAAATCCAAACGTGGAAGAAAGGGAAATTTGCGACTAGTTGAGGAAGCTAAAGAGGGTCTGTTTAACTCTACTTTACTCCTTGTAAATTAGGGCTTAAATTTCGCCTCGGGCGCCTTTTCTAACCTAACTTTTCTAACCTGTCCCTATCGCAACCATGGCATCAATACGCCTGAGCATCAAATTTAATGCTCCTTATTGGCTCTCGGTGTAGCAAAGCTCTAAATTAAAAAAAAAACTGGGGGAATTAGTTTAAGGAGGTACCACCTATTATCGAATAAACAAGCAGTTGTTGGTAAAACTTGATACACTACTAAATAAAGCTTCTAAAATTCTGTAGTTAAATTTTTGAGACCTGTAGGTTCCGGAGAAAAAAGTTCTGATCGATTTATTTTTTCACTGTTTAACATTGATTCTTATAGGAATTCATTACTTTGTCACATATATTTTCATACTATGAAATATTAAACAAACAGATGTTGATCAAAGTTTGTATACACTGAGAAAAATAATTTCGTAATAATAAGAAAATAATTTAGTTGAGCTTTTTTAGTTGGCGTTACTAAAATATGGTTGTCACAACAGAATAGGAAGTGGCAATAAATCGGGAAGTTTAGTTGGCTCTACCAAAAAATATATTTGAAGCTTTCATGTTTACGAACTAAATAGTTTGGTTCCCAGTACTAAATAGCTGACATGCTGTATTGCGCACGCGCTCTTCTCGTAAATATGGCGTCGCTTCCCATTCACGGGATGTCAACATTAACCATATGTCGTTCGCGTCGTGAAGTTTCAGTGTTGAAGTTTTTATGTTTTTCAGACATTTTTTTAAAAAAAAGTTTGTGTAGTGAAAATAAATAAATAAAACTTGTTACAAGAACGAAAGTTTTTTTCCAGCTTTTATACATTGTGAAAATGATTTAATCTCAAATTGTTAGTAGGATTCGTAGAGTAGTGGTCAGCGTTCTCGACTAGCGTTGCGTAGTCTGAGGGTTCGAGCCCCAGCAGTGTTAGGTTTTTTCCGCGATAGAAATTAATTTAAGTAGGCATAGGTAGGTTATATAAAGAGAAAAGGGTGAAACAAAAAAATAAGTTGGTTGAGAAAACAAAAAAAAAATTTTCATTTAACTAAATTTTTTGTTTGCTTAAAAACAATAAGTTAGTTGTGCAAAACAAAAAATTTGGTAGACCGAACAAAATGATTCAACGAAAAAATTTAGTAGCCCGAACCAAACGGATTAGTTGCACATATATCAAATAAAAAATTTGGTAGAGAGAACCAAACTTTGGTAGATGATACTAAACATTTTTCTCAGTGTAGTTAAAGACAGATATGCAATGAACCGGTATTGTATTTAAAAAAGGACAATAGGTTCCTGTGAGAGTTCAAAATAGTTCATTTATAAATTTTTTTTCCACTTTTTGTGATACAGAAAAGATAACTTGAAACATCTGGCAATACGGCATTTCGCGTCTTCACGGTTTCCACCGTGCGCGTGCGCTTGTCAAAGTTTTGAGGTTATGCGCGACAATACAAAACAACAGTTGTTGACAACGTACATAACGTGAGTTGCAGTGTTGCCAGACGTTTCAAAATACCGAGCAAGTCAAATCAGACAAAAATGGTTATTGCTTTGACTAGTTCAGTGAAGGGATGGAACCTCCTTAAAACTTAATTAGTTTAAAATAAATTTTAAATTAACTCACAATTAATTTCATTAGTTGCCAAACAGTCATGGGAACCATGATATTGTTGCATTATCTCAACTTGTCTTAACAAGTAAAATATTTTTTTTTATGCATTTAATCAATTTGGTAGAATCAGAATTGAATATCGACAGGAGGACAAATAGAATTAACTGTGCCTACAGAAAAATGTAAATTACTGAAGTTAAATGAAAAGAATGGTTTTGCGAGTATGCAAGGACATTATTTTTACAAAAAAAAAGAATATACGTTCCTCGCGAAATTGGGCCAAAGTAAATTATCACCAGATGTAAATCGATTCATCGCGTTCAGGAAATGTCAATGTATTCAAGTGGCACGATATGAGGTTGGAGAAACGGAAGAAGAAATTGGGAAAAACATAAAGAGAATCTCGATATATAGAATAGAGATGAGACTGTGTGTGCTATAAAGCTCGGGTCCAAAGCAATGTCGTTTATGTTTCCTGGATCTAATCCAGTTTTATGGTAACGACAGATGGTAATCATTGAGCATGAAAGGAATTATGATTTACTTCCCCTGGTGTATGACAAAGCTACTTGACTTTCTCTTTAATTTTATTTTATTTCTATTTAAAAAAAAAAAAAGTTAATCAACATTAAGAAATTAACATATATATATATATATATTTTTAAATTGTAAAACCCTCTCTAAATTTGAAATAGTAAAAATTTTAACTAATTAGAATTATTGACTCACTTTTTGCTTTTGAATTAGTTAAATTTTAATAATAATTAATAGTAAACAAAATAAATTTTACAATCGAATTAGTATAATGTCTTAACTAATTCAAAAGCAAAAATTTGGTCACTAATTCAAATTAGTTAAAATTTTTACTATTTCAAATTTAGAGAGCAATATTTGAATTTTGAATTCAAATAAATATGACAAAAATTTGCATATTTTAATTGCAGATAAATTTAATCATAAATTAAAAATGCACCTTTTTTTATTTTATATTTTTTCATCTCTTTGATGATGGATGGTTGATTTTATGAACTAATTTAAAATGAAATAGATTTAAAAATAAATTGTTAACGAATCAATAAAAATATACGGTAAAAATACATTTTTATACTTGAGTTTATATAGTGTATTTCTAGAAAAGTGTATAAAAAAAAAAAATGTTACATTTTTGTTTTATCAGTTGGTGTGATAATAATTTTCTAGAATAAAAATAAACTGCAGAAAAAATTATAAATAAATCACAAAAATTAAAATAATATTTTTTTACTAAAAGAAAAAAATAAAAATCACAATAATTATTTTTATAAGTAAATTGTATAGAAACTAATTAATTATATATGATTAACAATTATTATCTAATTCCTAAAATACATTTAATTGACTAAAAAATATTTTTTCTATTGGTGTAAGACTCTTGAGTATCGAAAGTACATTATATTGAGATTAGCTAAATATATATTTATTTATTGGATTAAAATTCTAAAAAAAAAAAAAAATTCATGGGACTTTGGGCATTGCAGAGTGGGCTACAGAAAGGGTCATCAGTACCAGGTCGCCACTTCTGACCTCGCCCTCTCCAACGATGACGAGTGTGACAATCAGGTACAAAGAACCGCGTAACCGCGACTCTGAAATCGTGATTTTAACCTTTATTATTTATTTTTTGATAAAAAAAAAAATTACCTGATATATATTATTCTTTACATAAACATTGAGCATATGAAATAAAAAAACAAACGTCGATACATTCGGTGTGTGTGTGTGTGTGTGTGTGAGAGAGAGATTGCGTGGGAGAAAATTTCTACTTTTTCGTCCAAGAGTATAATTTTTCTTATTTTCAGGATTATGACGATGAGATTGATAATGATCGAGGACGTCGACACAGTTCCCCTGGAAGTTCTCGTGGAAATTCGCGGGATTATCATCATCGTTTGCATGCCGATAATTTGGTAAGTCTATTTATATCTTATTTTTGCCTTATTTTCACTTTTTTAATCATGTTTTCTTTTTCAAGCTCTTCTCGAAAGAACAAGTTAATTACATTTTTTGACTATTATTAAATAAATATTCATTTTTATTAAATAACTATTAATTGCGTCAATTAAATACTGTATTTATTTCAAATACAAAAATAAAATTGGTTCAAATAAAATTTATTTAATTCAAGTAAATATTTATTTGAAAATAAATAATTTATTTAATTTAAATTTAATTAATAATTATTTGAATCAAATAAAAATATTTTTTCGATTCTACCTTTTAAAAAAAAATTTAATTGATTAATTAATTAAATTTACATTTTTATAATGTTTTTTTTTATCAATACTGTTATTCAAAAAAACAATGAAAATATTTTTAAAATAATGTCCTCTTCAGTCTAAAGTTTTTTTAAGAAAGGAATTTATTATAATAAAGAATTGAAACATTTGAAATTATTTGAAAGAAGTTTTTTTTTAAATGAAAAGAATCTTTTGTATTTAAAGATGAATATCATTATAATATAAAGAACTTGTTCTTTCGAGAAAAAAAAAGTATAGAACAGTTATCAGTTAGAAACTAGGAAGTGTTATTTCATGATTGACGAAAAAAATATCATTAGGCCATAAATATTATTATTATAGCTTCGCGTCAGTAAAATATACTTAGAGCAATGGCAGTTGAATATATATATATAACAAAGGATTTTTTATACAATCTATTAGTTTTTAATGAAGGTCTGTCACTTGTAACTATTTTTTTATATACAATACATATATAAATTACTTCTTTCGAACATTATTATAATAATTAGTTTTTTATAAAATTTTATTATTTACACTTTATCAAAATTTATTTGATGTTAAAAAAATAAGTTTAATAAGAAAAAAAACAAATCATTGAGAAAAAAATATGTTTTTAGTTTATAAAATTAATTTTTTACTTCTTTGAAAATATTTTTATTGTTAAAAAATAATATGAAGGGTAGAATGACAAAAAGGGTCAAGCGACAATTCACTGTTTTTACAGGAAGTAAAAAAAACATTTTTAAAAATTTTGCAGGTCATTTAAAAAAAAACTGAGAAAACCGTTTCGATATATTAGTATGTTTTAATAAATAAACAACAATTTGTTGAAATAAACCTACCCAGATAACACACGTACTAGTACGGTAGTAGTATAATACTAGTACGACGTACTAGACGTACTAGTACTGTACCAGCCATGTACCTTCGCACGGTACCAGGTACTGTACTAGTACGGCGTACCGGTATGCAATATCGGTAGAATACGAGTACTATACGAGTACGACGTACTGAAAACTTTTGTGACTTAGTATAACGTACTGTTATTGTACTGGTACAATACTAGTATGATGTACAATATAAAATATTATATACCCTCCCCTTTCTCTTCCCACAATAGTATTTTCATTATTTTCATTTATTATTCAAAAGAAAATCTGTGGGAGAACTGAAATAATAATAATTCATTTTTATTGAATCATTTTTTTTATTTACATCATATATGTAACTTGTATTCTCACTTATCTTAAAATATCTGGTATTTTATATTATTTTAATTACTTAACTTTATCAAATATTAATTGATTATTTCTTTACATTTAAACATTATTTCAAAAGAATTTTAAACTTGATGTTATAAATTGCTTTGAAATTTGCTTTGAAAAACATATTATCACATCCTAACCTATAAATATGTTATATGTATAAGAAAAATTATAACGAAATAACACACAATTGAATTTAAAAATATATCAATATGATCAAGACCGAATTTATGAATTTTTCTCATTATAAATGTAAAAGATTTTGATGTTTTTCAATGAAATAACACCATGGCACCATGTCAAAGTAAAAGAATATAAATCTTATAAAGATCGATAATTTAATATAAATTTAATCTCGGATATTCAAGATGAGTACAGAAGCACAAGTTACAAACGTTAAAACTCTTTTGCTGCATCATAAACGACTTTTTTCACCAACATTTAATGCACCGTTTTCAGTGACGCGTTCATATTTGACAATTGTCAAGAAAGTGAGGTTGGGTTGGCATTACCAGCAAAGATTCCCAGTACGACGTACCAGTATTATACTTGTATCGTACAAGTATGTTGTGCTTCTTATTTCAGAAGTACGACGTACTGATATTGTACTAGTACTATACTTTTATCGAGTAATCATATTTTACAATTCTAACAGTACGACATACTTTTATTGTACTAGTACCGTACTGGTACGACATATATAATTATTTTGTACTTGTATAAAACTAGTATAATACTAGTACGCCGTACTCGTAAATAACGATTAGTACGCTTGGTTATCTGGGTACATATTAACGATAAAATTAAAAAAAACTGTGGTGCCTTGAGGTTATATCAACTGCGCACATTTTCTTTAAGCATTAATTATAAAAAAAATATACAGTTTAAAGAAAAACTGGAAAATTAATTTCTTTCTATGGAATCGACGAAATGAATAGAAAAAAAATTCCTTTAAAAAATTGTTTGTTTTCAAGAAAATTACGAATTAATTGCTTGCTTTGGAATTGAGCAATACTTTCATCTTTAAATTCAATTGTTCACTTAGTATAATCATAAAAATATTTAAAAATTAATAACAAAATGATTTTAAAATTGTTTAAAATTGAAAATATATTATTATTATTATTAATTTTATTAATTAAAATATTATTAAAATAAAATTAAAATAAAATATTAAAATAAAACCTAAAAAAATAATATTTTTTTTTATTTTGATAATATTATTGACTCACCACTTTCTTTTGTTTTTCAATCAGGTTGCAATAAAGTAAATTTGAGGCTATTTTATTAATTTAATTTTTATTAAAAACTGATTTAAATACGCAATAAAAAAGGAAATCCTTCTACAGAAATGTGTAAATGAATTTTCTTGATTTTTTTATGCAAAAACCTCATTTTCGAAAAATTGGCGCTTGACCCCTTTTGTCATTCTACCCTTCATATATTGACCTTTAAAAAATAGGAAATTATATTCTTTTAATATTTATTTTGTAATTTACTTGTAAGGGTTTTTATTATAATTTTAATTAATTAGTCAAAAGTCTGATTTTTTCTGGACATAATTTATTTATAAAAAAAAAGATAAAAGTTATTTAAATTTTCATTTTCATGTTTTTAATTGAAAATTTAAATAATTTTATTCTTTTTTTTACAAATAAATTATATTCACAAAAGATTTGACTTTAAAGTGATTAAAATAAAAACTCTGAACCATTTTCATTGACCGTCAGATTGCTGAAAATTTTAATTAAAAAATCGCATAAAATATATAAAAATTACATTTTAATATTTGCTTTTTGTTGAAAAATTTTTAATATACATTATTTTATTTTAATATTTAAATTTAAATATTTATTTATAAACTTCAAATAAATTTTTGAATTTTTTTACATGATGAAAATAGTTTACAAATGTGACAATCCAGAATTAGAACATAGTCGAGAACATAGTGAATTTTATAGCTATATAATTATTACTATTGTTGTTATTATTATTAGTAAAAGAGGCGTAGAATTTAGAGTTTGAAAAAAATTGTAGAATTTATAATATATATATCATTGCCTGAAAAATTTTTCACAACTTTTTTTTTTTTTAATTAAAAATGGAGGTAGCGCGTCTACGTATTACCACAAAGGGAATTAAGGTACCTTATCATGGTACTGAATATATCTATATAAAAATAATTTACAAACGGGTTTAGATTTATTATATTATATTTTACGTTTCAATTTGGAAAGAATAATGAAGAAACTATAATTGGCTTTGAGGGTCAAAAGGCGTAAAAGTTATGAAATCATCCGCAGAGTTCAGAAAACGTTTTATACGTCGCTATTTTTTGAGTCAATTTTTCATAAAATTCAGTAGACCTGTGCGAAATCTTTAAATTTTCTATTGAGGAAAAAATAAAATTTAATTTTACATGATTTTCATATAGAAAATAAAATGTATCTCTGAATGGAGACAATTTCAGATGCATAAAATAAGTTTATGAAAATAAACTTTGACCTTTATATATATATATATTTTATATAAAATTTAAAATTTATTCCTCATTTTCAACTGGAACGTGAATTATGATAATTTTTTTGCTTATAAATTTTGAAACATTCTTTTGGAGAAAATTATAATTTTAATTAAGTTTTGATACGTAATTTTTTACAAATTTTATTTAATTATAAAATAATAATCCTTAAATTTAATATTATCATAGTGGAAGTTAATTTATAAATTTTTTTTTAATTAATTTTTTTTAAATAGAGAAATTTTTTATTCGAACCTAATATGAATTAAATAAATAAATATTTGTTTCAGAGCTAAATAACTATTTATTTTAAAGAAATAAAAATTAAATATTTATTTCTTTATTTAACTCTGAGATAAATTTTTTATAAGTGTGTTTTTCGATAAAAAGAAAAATATGAAGGGAAAATTTCTGTTTCACTCCTTAATTAAATAAAGACTGCTCTTGAAAAAAAAATTTTAATTTCATTTTTGATAAAGGATTGAATTTTTTTTTAATTTAAATGACAAATTAAGATTCGGTGAACTAGAAATTCTGTCAATCAAAAATTCATTTAATAAAAATTCAGTTAAATAGGAATTATGAATTCCTATATAAATAAATATAATTTCTGTTTAATATAGAAATTCAATGAAATTTTATAAAATTTTGTTAAATAAAAATTCGATTATAATTTAATATGTATTTGAACCACTTGAAATTTTGATATGATTTATTTATTTTTTGAAGGAAAAATAAAGAAAAAAAAAAGAAAGTTTACTCATTTTTATGTTATACTTTCCTATGAGATAGACATTTTTATTAACTGCGTATTTTTTCCAAAGATATTTATTCATTTTTATATGAATATTTCTTTTGAAAAATATATTCATAAAAAAATATAGTTGTCTGAAATGGCAAATATAAAAATAGAAGAAAAAAAAAATCTCATGGTTCCATTGATGACGTTATAGAACTAAAATGGTCTTTTGATGAGAAAATTCTAGATGTAAATCGATGATATACCGCCGATTCATGGTGCTTATCTATCCTTCTATCCAATATCTTTGATTCCTCTATATCATTTATTTACCTCTGACGTGGCCCGTTTTTCTCTCATCCATCTCTTTGCTATAGGCTTTGTTCTTGATCGAGAGGAATCGTATCAAAGAGCAAAAGAAATATTATAAGAGACCCTCCAAGATGTGAAATAAGTCTGCACTTCCTTTCGATTTTCCTTCTCGGGTGGAAAAAAAAAATCCTCTTTTAATACTTCATGATTAAAAAAAAGAAGGTTAATAAAAAAATTGTCTTTGTTCTATTTTATATATTTTAAATAACAGATAAAATGCAAATTATTACAAATCATAAAAAGAATTAAAAAACATTTTTTTTTTTTTTTTGTAAATAATATAAATAATTATTTATATGATTGTGAATTTTGACGTATACTTAAAATATACATTAGTTATATAAGGTCGCGTACGAAATTTGTACACAAATTATTATCAAAATTAATCTAATCAATAAAAAACTAATAATTTCGGTATCGCTATAAACGCAGATTTCCATTATCACATAATTCGCGTGATACACGCATTTGAACTTTTACGCTTTTTATACATAAAAGAAAAAGATGAATGGATGTATGTAAAAAAAAAAAAAAAAAAATTGCAAATCAGTCGGATTTATGAAAGCTGAAGACAAATATGTGAAATTTAACATTTGCTTTTCGATTATTGAATTAATGTCAGCGTTCTTTTAATAATTACATGAAAAAAAAACAAGTTGAAAATATTCGTTTGAACTTTAACGAGTAAAATTTTATTGACATTCGTTTTTTTTTCTTTTTTTTATTCTTTAAAATGTTTATTCTTCTTTAAACAGTTTATTTTCCATTAAAAGGTTTGTTTATGATTAAATCTTTTTCAATGATATCTTTATTTTAAGAAACAACTTTTTTTTGGCTATTTTTTATTATATTATTTTATAAAAAATTTTTTATTTTTATTATTTTCTTATAAATTTTTGTTCTTAATTGTCAAATAAAATGATTTATATAAGAAATTGTTTAAATGGAAATTTTTCTTGATATAAAAAGATTGGACATTTTTAAAAATATAGTAATTTAATTAATCAGTATTCGTTTAGTAAAAGTAAAAAGAGATGTCGAGAAAAAAAATAATAAAAATTTCAATTTAACTTTCAAAATTATGTTTCCTGTAATATAAGTTGACAATAACAGAATAGTCGAGAGAAAGTGATATTAATTTAAAAAAAGAAAAAAAAATCACAAGTCCAATACTTGTTTCATAACATTTTATGGTGTATTTCAAAAAAGAAATTGAGTTGGCTTTAACAAAGTTGTTTTAAAAAATTTAGATAAATAAACTTTCTTTATGACGTACTTTATAATTGCAACATAGAACTTTCCTTAAATTATGTATTTTTTTGTTGTTGTTATAAATTAGCAAACATTTTTTTAAACCAACAATGTAAAAAAATTTACATTGAAAATTAAAAAAAAAAAGACATTTCAACTTGTTTCTTCTCCTGATACATATATAAATAAATCCCTAAATAAACTATAATCTATGATAACGATTATTTACAAAATATTCAATGGTCGGATCCCTGATAACACTTTTACGTAGTCCGAAAAAAATTTAATTTAAAAAAATAATTTTTAGAAAAAAATACGATTCCTAATAATGAAATCTGTTCAAATACAAAAATTGACCCAATTTTCTGAAAGACTGATTTTTGCTCACGATGGGAAAAAAAAAAATTGAGGGACAAAAGGACGGAATTCACTCTGAATTAATTGGTAGTCTGATAAAGGAAAATAGAGGAAAAGAGATTGAGAGAGAAATGAATGAAGAAAAAAGACAAGTTGTACATGGTTGAAGCGAGTGGGACTAATGGATCACAATCACGACACCGCACCAGATTTTTTTTTTACCATGATGATATCCTTTTGTTTTCCTGATGAATATACATATATATATATGTTGGTTTGTATGTGTGTGTGCTCAACTTGCAAGATTTATGGACCATTTGCGATCAAGGATTCAGGCGAGGTTTTCTCGATGCCATATAGTGCCTCTTTTGAATGGAAGTCCCGACAAGTTTGTCACACACCTACGGGGCGTGTGTCCTCGCTTGTCAGGACGTGCGACGTAGGTACGCAGAGTAAAATAAAGAACAATCCAACTCGACTCCTCGTGAATCAGAGCTTGTCCTGAATGGCCTGGCGAAGTTCCTCAGTTGCTTTAGTCACGTCTTGAACTTGCCTTCCGTGAACCTCAGACCTGATGTGCTGCACCGTTGAATTAGATCGTCTAACGGAATTTCCGCTACCGAATTTCGGTCGCGGGATGCGTACTCGTTGAACTTCACTCAACCAGGTCTCCATTTCTACCGTCTGCCTGTAAAAAAAAAAAAAAATCAGACAATCATTATTAAGAATGAAAATAAATTTTTTAGAATTATCATTTTATAGAATCTTATTCTGTAGAAAATTATATTTTTGCGGAATTTCCATTAAATAGTTTATCAATGTTGCAAAAATTTTATTTAGACGAAAATTAATATGTCAGAAATTAAATTTGTTCGAAACATTGTCTCGTAGAATCTTAATTTTTGCAGAATATTCATTTGTTCGAATTTTTCTTGAAAAATGCAAATAGTCGCAAATTAATATTTGATATAGAAATAATTTTGCGCAATGTTTAAAATTAACCTATCAGAAATTATTAACAAAATTGTGATTGGTCAATTTTAAACCTTATACAACGAAATATTTCTGTCAAATTGATTTTCAAACATTAACATTTTCTAGAACATTAATATTAATCACAGTAAACTTGGTTGTATCTTTTTCTATTGCAATGTTTTGATGCACATAAGTTATATGAAAAGAGATCGTTTTGTGTATCATTTTTAGATATGATACACGAAACGGTCTCATTTTTTGATGCAAAAAATTTAATCAATTTATATCAATCATGGCCGAATTGAATCGACTCAAAATTAAACGAATTTTTTTCAGATATTTTGGTAATAGTACAATTGCGGAGACCATTTCACTATTTAATTTGAAAATGAAAATAACAGAAAATCAAAGACAATGTGCAATTCGATAATTAAAAAGTGACAGCTTATAAACATAACCTAAAATGCATGAGAAAAAATTTGTCGATAAAATCAATATAGCCGAGCTTTTTAGAAGGTAGATGGCAGTTTTGCTTTTTATAAAAACGATTCAGAAAAAATTTAAAGAAAGAAAATAGATAAGTGCTGCCATCTACCTTCTAAAAAGCTCGGCTATATTGATTTTATCGACAAATTTTTTCTCATGCATTTTAGGTTATGTTTATAAGCTGTCACTTTTTAATTATCGAATTGCACATTGTCTTTGATTTTCTGTTATTTTCATTTTCAAATTAAATAGTGAAATGGTCTCCGCAATTGTACTATTACCAAAATATCTGAAAAAAATTCGTTTAATTTTGAGTCGATTCAATTCGGCCATGATTGATATAAATTGATTAAATTTTTTGCATCAAAAAATGAGACCGTTTCGTGTATCATATCTAAAAATGATACACAAAACGATCTCTTTTTGATATAACTTATGTGCATCAAAACGTTGCAAAGATTTGATGCAATTTTTGGTCACAGTTTGATACTTTTAGGAAAACTGTGGAGCCAAGTCGAACTTAAATTAACTTAAACGATAAATTTTGTTGTTAAATAATAACTAATAAACATATTGTGTTTTTTTTAAAGTTAGTGAACAATTGTAATTTTTATACAATTTTTATAAACAATAGCTCATTTTTCTCTTTTAAAAATTCCCTACAATTCTGTCTTTGTGTTTTTTTTGTTAAATAATGGTTTGTTTAAATTTAAAAAATATATAAAAATAAAAATTGTATTTGTTTATTAATTTTTATACAAAATATTGTTAATAAAATTCAACGAACAGAATTGTAGAAAATCTTTCAAAGAGAAAAATGAGTAATTTTTTTTTGTAAGAATTGAATAAAAATTACAATTGTTAACCAAGTTTAAACAAAAAATATAAAATGTGAAATAATTACTATTTAACGACAAATTTTTGCGCAAAATAATTTATTTTGAAATTTATACATTCGAATCTTTCAAAATTTTATAAAATTAATTTTATTAAATATAGTTTTATTTGTTGTTAAAAACAACTTTTTAGTTTGAGGTTATGTTAATGGGCTAAGCACTCTTAATGACGTAATATTTTGCAAAAGTAATATTCTACAGAATAAGATTCTATCATATCATAATAAGTATCGCTGAATAGAAATTTTGTTAAACAATAATTTTAGTACAAAATTTTTATAGATATTTATGCGTTCCAAATTTATAGAGAAAATATTCCATGCTTCATAGATTTTAAATGTGGTAAAAAAAATTCGCAAATCTCTTACAGAGCTAGAAAATAAGATATTTATGTTGAAATTTTTGAGCTTTTAACATAAATCGATATTTGAACTCGAGTAATTTAATTTTTAGTATTGCCAAAGGGGTTCTAAAATTTTTATTATAGTTAATGATAGGGAACACTCTGAAAATTTCAAGAAAATTGTTTTTTTTTTCAAGTTTTCGAGTAGAAATATTTTGTTTGTATTTAATTAATTGATAGTTGATTTACAATCTTTTGTAAAAGATGGCAATAAATTTTTCACGTTAATGAATTCATCGAAAGAAATGCATATTAAAAATTCAATTTACGTTCCTCTCAAATTTCTCCCGGAAATTGGATTCTATACGTTTGAAAAGCAAATAATCTTACACTATATTAAAAGCCGGTATGAAATTATTCTCATCTTTTTTAAATTGAAATTATATCCAGTATATAATATATATTAAAATAATGTAATATATATTATATATATATATATATATTTTTTTTTAATGTATGTAAACATTAAAAGATGAATTTTGAAATTTTATGATCCATCAAAAAGACCCTTATAATCAAGTAAATTGAAATGATGCTCAAGCTATTTTTCCTGCTAAGAGCAATAAATCATGTTTCACTGGATATAAAATGCATAAAAAAGAATGATAAAACTCATAACTAAGGGGTATAAAAATCCCGAAAGAATAAAAAAATCTTCTTAAATTTCGATTCTGAACGTGGGATTTTTTTTCTAAAAGAAACAATTTTAAATAAGTAGAAAATTAATCAACTGAAAAAATTACACTTGAGGTAAAAATATATATTATTTAAAATGAGAAGAATATTTTTTTATATATAAATAAATCATAAGAATTTATGAAGAATATATAAGTTTATTATTTGTGAGGATTATATTTTTATTGGAGGAAATATTTCAGATAGAATAAATATAAAATATTTTATTAAATGTTTTTTTCTTTTCGTTGTTTCCAAAAAAAGCCCTAATTGCAAAAAAAAAAAAATCCGAAAGTAGTCTATATATAAAGATGATGAAAAGAATTATATTATATCACATGTAAATTTGTGTGTGTTATCACATGTAACTTGAAGAATTTTTAACAAAAAACGTGTGAAGAATAATGAAAAATATTTTGCTTTAGAAATTCAGGTACGTGAGGGACCTTAAATTATTTATTAACCGGCTAAGAGAAAAAAATATATGTATATATATGTGTGTCAAAAGGAAAGGCAGATGATGAATTAGTAAATAGCAAAAAATTTTCAATGGAATTTAAAAGAGGTTCTCTAAAGGAAGTTCTTAAAGCTTATGAATTACTTAGAACTTTAAAAGCAACTTGTAACTGTATTTTCTGAAAATCATTTTTTTTTTAACATATATATCTAAAACATATACCAAATTTATAACTTTTGATATTCTCGAAGTAAAACATAAAGTTTTTTACAAACCAAATTATAATAAAATTACAAAATTTGAAGTATTTAAAAAATGGTATTTAAATGTAACTTCAATGGAACATTCAATGAAATTGAAACAAATATACACCCAGAGAAATCTTTTATTTGCTCCTCATCTCTTTTCTCTATGTAAAATCTGTAGATGAGGGAATAACAATTTCACTACGAATTTTTTTTTTTTTTTTTTAAATTGGAATTAAAAAATTATTTGGATATAATGCGATAAAATAATTTTCTGTTTGTCGTTTATATATATATAATACGCCTTTCACATGACACTCGTGCGACAGGAAACGAGTAGGCCAGGGCGAGGGAGACACAACTCTGACGTATCTCGATGGTATCCTATCCAAGCAAATCCAATTAGAGGCGGTACTACATGGCGCGCGGTGTGTCCGTCGATAAACCGAATCGCAGATACGATACCAATTTCACTCAGGCAGCGTTGAGAAAATTTTTATACGTAAACAAGAAAAAAAAATAAAATAAATAAAGTAAAATAAGCAACACAGAATTTCCCCCCTTTTTTTTCTCGTCTCAGTCGCTTAACTTCCATTCACTGATTTCAAACCCAAGTCGTGTTGTTTTACAGTCTTGTTTACGTGTGGTTCCTCTTTGAGTGGGGAGGTTCGAGAGCCAGTCTCGCAGCAGTAAAATGGTCGTTTCGCGAGAATCTAGGCGGATTCCAATTAGTACCTGTAGTCAAGAGAGTCGAGCCGATGTAGAATTACAGCTCTTAGAGTTGCATGCCTGCTGTTGCTGATCTCTTCCGAGATGGGAAATACTGACGAGAGGGGCACAAATCAAAGAGTAAAATCAGCTTCTTGTGAAAAAAAAAGTAGAGGAAACAATTTAGAGTTGCTGTTACTGATTTTAGATATATGTATATAGAGGTATAGACGAAAGAGAAAGAACAGGGTCGCTGTTGGAATCCATGCGTTTTTGGAAAATCTTATTTTAAATCTCATAAATTTATATGACAAATGGAATGTTATTTATATATTCGATTTAAAGGGTTTTCGGTTTGTTGCCAAGCACTTCTTGCCATGAATATTCTTGAGTTCTGCGATGATGAGAAACTTTGATAACGGACGTCAAGGTTGCTTAACATCTTTAAGAAATGTACCTACTTAAGATAATCCCTTTTTGCTTCCTTTATAGAGAGAAAGTTTTGTATATATGTATCTAATACATCATTTCAGAAAAGTTTCATTTTTGGACGCAAAGTAAGTTCAAAAATTTTTTGTTAGAATTTTGCATAATTTTCATTAAACCGATTTTCTATATTGCAGAATTTTTATATAATTAAAAATTCACTTCACAGAATTTTTATATAATTAAAAATTCACTTGACAGAATTTTTATTTCTTCGAATTTTCGGGTCGGTATCATTTTCACACAAAACTTGCCTTAGTGATCATAAATTTTTCTGACAAATATGCACCAAATGGGGATTTTTAAGCCTTATTAATTTACATTTTAAAACACTATCCTGAGTGTATTTTTGGGTAT